CCTGGGTGAGTTTTCTCAGCTCAGGATCACTGGTGCTGTGGCCAAAATTACCTGGACTTGAACAATCAGAATCTCTTTTTCCTTAAGTCGCCTATTTGTGATAGTTACTCAATTATTATTCTTAAAATAATTGAGTAAATGGTGGCTGCTTGATAGGTCCTAAAAATGTAGAATATTAGATTTTATTGTTAAAAAACCAAACAGGCAGACCTCCTCCTAGAACTTAATGTGTGCTTTATTTATACACCAGATATTTTATCCTACTCTGCTGTAGGATAAAGTACTCTGTCTTTCTTTTTGCACATCTCTTTTAAAATTTGGGCATTCTCAAATATATTTGGAAACACTCAGGTTGTCACTGTTACCACTGTGCCCATCTTCCAACATGGAAACTGCTAGCAATTTGATTAGGAAGTCACGGTGACTCTCCCAGGGCTTATATTCACTGTATTTAGTATATAGTATTTGACCTTTTAAAGCAAAAGTCAGGTGCTCTTCTGCGCTTCCTTCCCCAAAAGGCTACCACTGCCTTGAAAACTGTGCTGCTACCCCGGAAAGAACTTAAGAGTTGTTAAAGAGAAAGAAAGGACATTTCTTAAGTCAAGAAAATAAAGCTTCTCATTTTGGATGCCAGTAGGAAACAATCTTGAACTTCATAGTGGGCAGAAAGCTTAGTTCCTTTGATTACACTCCTGGGCAACGTATCAAAGCCTCAGCAATAACATTGTAAGTGTTTTGACTTCTTTTAAATATCCCCATTGTGTTCAGGCCTATTCCCAACCTCACACCACTGACATTTCAGGTGGGATACTTTGTAGGGAGGGGCTGTCCCGTGCATTGCAGTACGTGCAGCAGCATCCCTGGCTTCAACACACAAGATGCCAGTAGCACCCCTCCCCCGCCATCGTGATAATGCAGAATGTCTTAAGACATTGCCAAATAACCCTGGGGGAAGCGGGAAGAGGGCAAAATTGTGCCTGGTTTGAGAACCACTGGTGTAGGCTAATTAGCATATGTATCCTCACATAAATGTACCTATGCAAGTCAATAAAAAACAGAAAGGTAGTTTCAATTGTTAAAACTAGCTAAATCTGTTCCATTGGCCTCATAAAGTGTCTTATTAACATAAATCCAATTAAACTTAGATGTGTTTAAAGGCTGATCATAACCAGAAACTCACACAAAGACATTTACATTTACATTTCTAAAATGTAACATTTATTCTTTTCAAAGTTTCTGTTCAAGCATATTCAGTTTATTTTCCGACTAGCCCCAAACAATTTAAGAAACAAAGCAGATTCCACTTTATTTCTACTGTGTTTCACATGACACCAAGGATGACAGTTTGGATTGTGTTGTGACACATTAGACAAGCCCATTAGAATAATGACACCCTGCATTTATGTGGTGCTTTTCAGTTTACAAAGCACTTTCACATACCTTACCTATTTTGATTCTGATAATAATCTTATGAGATTGACAGGGAAAAATTAATATCCTCACTTTAAAGGTGAGGAAACTGAGTCTCAGAGAGGTAATGTGGTGACCCAAAGTCATTCTGTCATTGGCAGGCCAAGGACCAGGGTCCAAGCATCCTGACTCCTAATTCAGGCTGATTTTACACTAGTATAAAACCTCACACTTTGAAATTTTAAAGTATAGTCCTTCGAAAGTGTTAGTTACTTCATTTAGAAATTCATTCTCTGGCTTAAACATTCAGAACTGCATAAACATGCTGAAATTGTAAACAAATTAAAAAGAGATCATGGGGACTTCCCTGGTGGCACAGTGGTTGAGAATCCTCCTGCCAATGCAGGGGACATGGGTTCGAGCCCTGGTCCGGGAAGATCCCACATGCCGTGGAGCAGCTGAGCCTGTGCGCTACCACAATGAGAAGCCCCAGCCCATAGCAACGAAGACCCAATGCAGACAAAAATAAGTAAATAAAATGAATAAGTTAAAAAAAAATCATGTTTTTGTCAGAAAACTAGCTGGGTGACTCAGTGTGCAGTGACATTGAATACAAGGATGGCATTTTGCACAGTCACTTTGCTAATTATAACCACATTTAAACCGATAAAGCTTACTTTTCCAAAAATTGGGTATGCATTGTTTTGATTATGTCAACTCCCAACCATCAGATCTCTGATGAAACAGGTTCTAACCAATGTTCTTTTGAAATCAAGGTTAGCAACCTTAGAACTTAAAAACAAAAAAAGGAACCAAAAAAAGAATAAAAATAAAAACCACATCTATTTGGGTAAATATCTTCCCTACTTGCCTGGAAATTTTCTTTTTTTTTTCTTTCTTTCTTTCTTTCTTTTTTTTTTTTTTAGAGGAGTAGCTTATAGAGACAATCAAATGTAAAATTAAAAAAATCTTCCCACTCCACAGGTACTATAGGTTTGTGAACTCTGGCATTCCCAGAATCAGAGAATTTTGAAAAGCCAGGATAGAAACACTACGTCAAAGACAAAAACATTTAAAAACTACTACCTGAGTCTTCACATTTGGAAAAACCTACAGAAAGTAGTTCAGTATTGCTTTGGAATAAGGAATTTAAACATGAGTCAGAACGCAGGCCACTTTAATCGGTTGTTAATTGCAGCTCTGCCCTTCAATAAAGAGTAGCTATTCACTGTACTAAGCTATTCTAGGCCCATGCAGCAATTAATTCAGTTGCCAGGGTTCCCAGGAGCACTTCTGAAATTTCTGCCCACAAAGGGCCCCAACTTTTATACGAGCTGTAAGGGAAGCAGATCACAAACGTATTTCCTCAGAACCCCAAGCACTGCCCACACTCCTCCCCAAAGAACACAGGACAGGCAGTCTACGTCCTGGACTTACTGAAACATGGAAAAGGCCTTGAGGAACGCTCACTTACCAAAGCCAAATTCAACGATGCTGGTTAGAATAAAGGAAACTGGTCCTTTACTAGGATTTCTTTTTCATCATTGTTCCTCAGCATCAAGGAAGGTAAAGTTACTTTGTGCCTCTCAGTTACTGATTTTTTTTTTCCCTTATGGAAAAGCTGAACATCAGTCAAGAGAGAACACATGATACTTAGTCAGCAGCACATTGGAATTACTGCCCTGGCAGGCTTACCACTCAGAATTTAATGAGAAGAACCCGTTCAGGCACCAGACACAAAATGTTAACTAGCTGTCCTCAGAGAAGCCTGTGTCCCAAACTATCACAGGAAAGAGAGGCTAAGTTTTAGATCAGTTACTATGAGTCTCAGGTATATGAAGTTTACAAGCCAACTGGTATTTAAGGTTAACATAAGAGTCTCAAGTTTTACTATATGAATAAATATCTGTATTAGAGTTAAAATTTAGAGTCTGACTGATGAAGGTTCTAGGCAAACAGTATCTAAATCACAGGTGAGACCAATATTGGCCTTTGACCTCACTAGCAGTAAGTAAAAAGTCTTTATAAAGCACTTCTGCATATTTGTGGCATAGCAAAATGTCATTGATTAAGGACCCCTCAACAGAGTGAGATTTGCTATTCCATTTTTTTTAAAACTAGCTTTTGCACTTCCCTGGTGGAGCAGTGGTTAAGAGTCCGCCTGTCAATGCAGGGGGCACGGGTTCGAGCCTTGGTCCGGGAAGATCACACATGCCGCGAAGCAACTAAGCCTGTGCGCCACAACTACTGAGCCTGCGCTCTAGAGCCCGTGCTCCACAAGAGAAGCCACCGCAATGAGAAGCCCGCGCACCGCAGAGTAGCCCCCGCTCGCTGCAACTAGAGAAAGCCCGCGCACAGCAACGAAGACCCAACACAGCCAAAAATAAATAAATAAAATAAATAAATTTAAATAAATAAATAAAAATAAAAAAGGCATTGGTGACTTACAAAAGAAAAGCATGTCTTAAAAAGAAACCAGGGCTTCCCTGGTGGCGCAGTGGTTGAGAGTCCGCCTGCTGATGCAGGGGACGCGGGTTCATGCCCCGGTCGGGGAGGATCCCACATGCCGCGAGGCGGCTGGGTCCGTGAGCCATGGCCGCTGGGCCTGCGCGTCCGGAGCCTGTGCTCCGCAACGGGAGAGGCCACAGCAGTGAGAGGCCCGCGTACCGCAAAAAAAAAAAACAAAAAAAAAAACCCAAAACTAGCTTTTAGGGTCAATCTATCAAGCAATGCTCCTTCTTTTCTACTTCTTATGTAACCTGGTGAGGCACCACCTAATATTTCTAAGCTCAAAACATTCAAGACCCATCATCAAACTTCTCCCAAGAATATGAAGTAAATGTTGATTCTAAGTATAACGCCCACACATTATTAACTTAGGAAAGAGCTCCAATCTCCCATAGATCAAGGATGAGGCATAGCCATCAAAGGATTGAAAGACTCTCCTCTAGGGATTCAAAGTCAATGTCTGAAAAGGAGACTATTGTGGAACAATAAATTTTTGTTATTAAACTTTAACTTTTATGGAAACAATTTCCTAGTATGAAAGATAAACTTGACGCAAATGAGTCAGAATTTTGGAAGCTGGTGAAAATTTTCTCTCATGCTCTGTGCCAAGAGGTCAATTTTCATTGCTATCATTTTCTTCAGAACTAAATGAGCCTTTCTTCCATTCCCTTTCCAGAATCCTAGAAACAGACTGGGTCACTGAGGTCCAACTGTCCTCATTGTCCAGCAACCCAACTCCCAGGAGTCAGTTTACAAATATTCCACGGTATCTGGAATAGGAATCGCTAAGGGGAGGGCATGAATGAAGCCTAAGGCACGGCCTCAAGCCCTGTGTCCCTGAGCTCTTACTCCTCAAAGTGCATGCATTTTAGTGCTTTGATTTGAGCAACTCACAATCCAGAATAAATGCTCAAACATGTTTGAAAAGCCTCCCCACCCCCGCCTCAGCTAGGCCTCTGCACCCTGGGACCAACATTGTGCCACACCCCACATATCCCCGGCACAGATGTGAGATCGTTAATGCCCAAATCTGGACAGGGATGAGTCACTGATTTGCAAAAACTGAGGGTGTACGGTCCTTGTCAAGCCGGGCACATGTCCACTCAGCCTTGGGGCAGCACCATTTTCTACGGGATCAGCATCCTGAGAGAGGCTGCAGCCCTTGACCCTGTTGGCCAGGTAGCAGGGCGCATTCCCATCCCACAGCAAGATCAAGTGGTCGACAGCCAAGTCAGGGGTCGTGGAGCCGCCCGACAGAGTCCGGGAGCAGTACCCTCTGTGGACTGGGGGCAGGAAGGCCTGCTTCCTCCCGCCCAGCTGGAGCGCGCGGCTGGGGTGATGCGCGCGCGCCCGCCGCTCACCGCCGGCGGCCCTGGGCGGCCGACGACGGGAGGGCGCGACGCCGGGGCTGAGCCTCCCAGTCGCCTCAGAGGGTGACACACCCGTCCGCCTCGAGTAAATGCAGGTGAGTCCTTGTAAGGCGTTGCTAACTTTCCCCGAGTCTCAGACTCCGCTCTCCCTTCTCGGCGACCCCCCTCCCGCGGGCCTCCAGGAAGTCAAGCCCCGGCCGCGCACCGAGCAGCGCCCGGGCGCCCTCGCCCTGACAGGCTCAGCCGCCAGCAAGCCCGTGCGCGCCCCAGTCCCGGCGCCCCGCGCCACTCACCCGACGCCTCGGCACTAGCTCGCGCGCTGCGGGGGTGGCTTCGGCAGAGGTGCTGTCGTCCTGGCTGGGTGGCGGCCGGCTCTGCGCCTCAAATACGCCGGGCCAGGCCCGCCTTTCCCGGGGCGGGGCCGCCACCCCTGCCACCCACGGCCTCGCTCTGCGGACCAGGCGGGGCGAGTCCCCGGCCTCGCTGGACACCCGGGCGCCCAGGCGCCGCGGTTCCAGGGCGCAGAGGAGACGCCTGACTCGGAACAGCGGCGGGAGGGACCCTGACCCGAGGCCTCCATCCCCGCAGCGTCCAGTTGGTCTCCTCCGCAGCCGCTGGAGATCGGAGTTCACCGCCCTCTCACCAGATTCACCTGCTAACTCCTCAGACCAAGACTGGGAGAGTCTGCGAAGCTTTTTGTGTGTGCTTCTTTGGGGAGTTCTGCTTGCTTACTTGCTTTAACCGTGTTTACTCTTTTTCTGCCTGAATCTCAGGCACTCTCAGCCCTTCTGCATTTACTTTACCTAAATCCCTTCTCAGCATCGAAGCCTTCGCACAGTGACTTGGGTCACAGTTTTCTGAGATGCTAGGTGAGATGCTCCATGTTCTTGGCCTTGCTTTCATTCCCTTTATGAACTGTGATGTGGGTCCACACCTCAGACTAGGAGCCCTAAATTGTTTTGCTGTTTGCTCCCCACTGCATCCTGAGCATCTACCCTGTGTTTGGTAAATATTTGTTTAATGAATGAATGATTGAAATGGTGAATCACTTCCTATTGGGAAGAGTCCTGATAAAGGAGGGAAGAATTAAATAAAATAAAGCTATGGCTCCAAAAAGGTTGTTACAACAAGTAGTGATGCTTCCAAGAGAAATGGTATTTGTTTGGTAGCATTTAGCTGGGTAATAGCTGAGTGAAATGGCTAAGGATGTCAAAGATGAATTTCTTTTTAAGTTCAGACTCACAAAAAGTAACTCGACTCACAGACATCGAAAACAAATTTATGGTTACCAACGGGGAAAGTGAGGGGGGGATAAATAGGAATTTGGGATTAACAGATACATACTACAATATATAAAATAAAAAACAAGGAACTACTGTATAGCACAGGGAACTATAGTCAATATCTTGTAATACCTATAATGGAAAAGAATCTGAAAAATAATATATATATGACTGAATCACTTTGCTGTACACTGAAACATTGTAAATCAACTATACTTCAAAAAAAAAAAAAAGATTAACTCAAAATGGATTAAAGACCTAAATGTAAGACCTGAAACTATAAAGCTCCTAGAGGAAAACAGGGGAAAACTCCTTGACATTGATTTTAGCAATGATTTTTTTGGATATGACACCAAAAGCACAAGCAATAAAAGCTCAGAGTGAACAAGTGGGAGTACATCAAACTAAAAAGCTTCTGTACAGGGACTTCACTGGTGGCGCAGTGGTTAAGCATCTGCCTGCCAATGCAGGGGACACAGGTTCGATCCCTGGTTTGGAAAGATCCCACCTGCCATGGAGCAACTAAGCCAGCGAGCCACAACTACAGAAGCTCATGCACTCTAGGGCCCGTGTTCCGTAACAAGAGAAGCCACCACAATGAGAAACCCGTGCACCGCGACTAAGGGTAGCTCCTGCTCACCACAACTAGAGAAAGCCCGCGTGCAGAAACAAAGACCAAATGCAGCCAATATATAAATAAAAAGCTTCTGCACAGCAAAGGAAACTATCAACAAAGTGAAAAGGCAACCTACAGAATTGGAGAAAATATTTGCAAATCATATATCCAAAGAAGAGGTTAATATCCAAAATATGTAAGGAATTCATTCATACAACTCAATTACAAAAAAAAAAAAAATCTGATTAAAAACTGGGCAGAGGAACCAAACAGACACTTTTCCAGAGAAGATATACAAATGGCCAACAGGTACATGAAAAGGTGCTCAGCGTCACTAATCATCAGGGAAATGCCAATCAAACCCACAATGAAGTATCACCTCATGCCTGTTAGAATGGCTACTATCCAAAAAGACAAGAGATAAGTGTTGGAGACGATGTGGATGGAGAAAAGAGAACCTTTGTGTACTTTTAGTGGGAATGTAAATTGAAACAGTATGGAAGTTCCTCAAAAACTTAAAACTAGAACTACCATATGATCCAGCAATTCCACTTCTAGGTACATATCCAAAGGAAATCAGATCACTATCTTGAAGAGATATCTGCTCCCCCATGTTCATTGCAAAATTATTTATAATAGCCAAGACCTGAAAACAACCTAAGTGTCCGTGGATGAATGAATGGGATAAAGAAAATGTGAGATATATATCTATAGCTATATACTGTCTCTATATCTATACACATTCATACACACACACAGTGAAATATTACTCAGTCATAAAAAATGGCAGGAAGGAAATCCTGCCATTTGTGACAACATGGATGAAACTTGAGGGCATTATGCTCAGTGAAGTAAGTCAGAGAAAGACAAATACCGAAATGATCTCACTCACATGTGGAATCTAAAAAAGTCGAACTCATAGAAACAGAAACATAGTTTGATGGTTGCCAGAGGCATGGGGAGAGGCAGAAAGGGCACAAACTTCCAGTTACAGGATGAATACGTTCTGGGATCTCATGTATAGCAAGGTGACTATAGTTAACAATACTTGAAAGTTGCTAAGAGAGTAGATCTTAAATATTCTCATCACACACACAGAAAGGTAACTATGTGAAGTGATGGGTGTGGTAACTATTGGAATCATTTCATATATATATATATGTATATATATCCATTATACATAAATATATCTCATTTTATGTGTATATGTAAATGAAGTTTAGATAATATTAACGGCTACTATTCATCAAGCACTTCTTATGTGCTTTGTATTATACCTAGTGCTTTACATGCATATATGGGGGGGGGGGAGGTAGGTATTTTTATCCCTATTTTAAAGATGAAAAAACTGAGGCATAGAGAATTAGATATGACCAAGATCACAACACAGATCAAGTTGAAAGTATGTCAGGGTCTAAGAAATAAGCCTTTGGAAATGGGATTTGCTATTCCACAGATTGAGGCAAAGAATACACCAATGAACGATGGAAGGAAGGGAGGGAGGGAGGGAAAACGCCACTGCCAGCAGACCACCAAAGATTGGTAGATTTAGAAGTTGGAGGGGATCATTCAGAAAAGGAAAGAAGAATTGACCTCACCGTGAAATGATCTCTGAAAGAACAGAGGAGCAGACTTGCTCTTTTGATTCCAGTGTTTCAATTCTGAGGGACAGTTTTCTGTCTTATAGTGGGATTCTGTGTCTGGCTGATAGCATATGTGAGAAAGCCTCTGTATTTGCTTGACCTGTGTCTGGGAGCTTTTGGGTTTTTGGCTAGAGGAGGAAGGGACTTGGTGCTAGACAATGGAGTAAGGACAGAGAACTAGGCAGGGGATGTCGAAACCAATTCCAGTCCAGCCTCTTTTGCTGGGCTGGAGCCCCAGGGAGAGAGGAATGGGGCCAGAAGCTGATGGGGCTGTCTTTGTGAAAGCTTTTTGAGAGGTGGCGTCAAGGCCCAAGTGACAAAATACAGCTCTGGGATATAAGGCATCTATCCTTTCCCCTTCTGCACACACCCCAGGACTTGCTGGCTCTTTGCAGATTTCCAGAGCAGACTCCTGGGACCGACGTTGGTGTTCTCACCAGGAAGACCCACTGGCGCTGGGAGTTCCCTCATGTAGGTAATGGACATTTCCCAAGGGGCGGGCAGAGGCTGCATCTGCCAGGGGCTGGGGTGGGGGGTAGGGGAGTGAGGTGAGGTGGCCGGCACACTGGTTTGTTAGCATGAGTAGGGTCCACACAGGTTACTTCTTTGGCGTGAACTGAGCAGGGGAGGGGCTGCGGAGGGCTCTGCTCTGTGCCAGAACGGACTATGGGAGGCATAGTCCCACAGTGGGACAAAGGAGGCCTCGCTAGAACTGGCCAACTGGGAGTTGTGATGTAACTTGGTGGTAGTTACATGTGTTCTGTGTTTTGGGCAATGAGTTCACTCAGTAAACCAAAGTGGAAAATGGAAATGTGGCCTCGTGGTGTAATCTCTGATACAATAGGATCGAAGGGTAGAAATTTATGAAAAGTCCAAATTACATGTTATGTCCGCAGAATATATTTAGATATATAAATATTTATCACTCCATGTATCTGTAAATAACTCTGAAAACTAAGATACATTAATGTTTTTAAAATATATGATTCATGATGGACTGCAACGTTCCTGTGAACTCCGACATTACATTAAGGTGACCCAGGTAGCCTGACAATGTTGCTTGCGTGGGCCTTATGATGTCAGAGAATGAAGGATATGTAATATATAAAGCTGTATTGCCCCTAAGAAAGTTGAAGGAAGCAAACATTTATATTTGGAGTTTAACTCTGACTTCCCTCCTCTTCTCCTCCCCTTGCTTACACACTGGGGCCACAAGGGCCCCCAGCGGTTCCATCCCTGCACACTCCGAGCTTAGCATCCTTGCCTGGCTGTCCCCATATGTGAAACTCTCTCTTCCCATTACCGACTCTGTCACCTCCTTCAAGTCTTCGCTCGAATGGCCCTTCTCCAGGAGTCTACTATTCAATATTTTAGCACCTTATTCAAAATTGCAGCTCAAAAGTTCCCCAGTTCCTCGTGCTGCTGGTCCCCCTTTACCCTGCTCTAATTTTTCTTTTCTTCATGGTATTTATCAATTTCCAGCATGCTACAGAATTGATTTATTTCTTGTACCTACTGTCTATTGTTGGTTCCCCCTGACTTTCTTCTACTCCCCTCCCTGACCACGGAGTTCTTTGCTGTATTATTCACTGATGAATCAAAGAGGCACATAGTAGGCACTCAACATTTGCTAAGTAAATAAATTCATAGTGTGAGCACTGGAGAAAAACCCTGTGGCCGTTTGATTTTATCACTTTCAGTGCTTTTCCCTCTTAGTTAACTATTTAATGCCTCTTAAAATGATTAAAATTTTAATAATGAAGAATTCAATTAATAGGTTGCTATGTTTGTAAAATACAAACAAAACAATAAAAAGCAAAAAAAAAACGTTTTAAATTTTTTTGCGGGATGGGGGCCTCTCACTGCTGTGGCCTCTCCCCTTGCGGAGCACAGGCTCCGGACGCGCAGGCTCAGCGGCCATGGCTCACGGGCCCAGCCGCTCCGCGGCACGTGGGATCTTCCCGGACGGGGGCACGAACCCATGTCCTCTGCGTCGGCAGGCAGACTCTCAACCACTGCGCCACCAGGGAAGCCCCTCCTTAGTACATTTTGCACAGGAAAGTCAAATTATGTATACTCTCCTTTTAACTTTGTCTTATCCTTTTGTTGGAAGACATACATAAGTATTATCATCTCATTTTTACTGTCAGGGAAAGTGACAGTTATCCAAGCTCATCCATGTCTAGGAACAGAACAGAAGTCCTGACTTTTACAACTTATCTAGACAATCACGGAGCAGTGAATCCTTGCAGGGACTGGCTTATGTAAACTAGGGAGGAAACCAGGTATAATCTGGTTCCTAAATAATTCCCGTCCTCTCTAAAATAACCAAATAATTCATTGTGTAAAGATGAATTCTTTCATCCAGTTTTCTACCATAGGAGGGAAGTGTGCACATGAAGGACTCACTTGAGGGAATTGGGAAGGTGTCTTGCATCATTTAGGATGCATTTGAAAGTGCCTTAGTGGCTGGTACTGTTTTTTCATTGCTGCCCCCTCTAGGCTTATACATAGAAGTCACTGTATGCTGGGGATTGTTTATGAAAATATAACCCCTTCTCTGAAGAGGGTGCCTGGCAACCAATTGACTTGAAAGAATCATCCATAGTAAGTGACTAACCTATGAGTATTAAAAAGGAGTTACCGACCGGAAGGGCCTTTGCCTCTTCAGAAAATGCTGTAAATCTTAAGACTGAGTCATGAGGCCACAGGGCGAGGAGTGGCATCGCTGTCCTTAGAGGGCTAGCCTCTGGTAATAAGAAAAAGTGATGGCCAAAGCAGTTGTTATGAAGACAAGAGAGGAGTCACCCTCTTGCCTTTCTTTCCAGTAATCCTCGGTCATTTCAGGGATAGATAAAGCGCATGCCCTTGCTACTTAGTGGGTTCATCATGTGCTCAAACATCTTTTTCGCTTCACTTCCTTAATTGCACATCCCCAAGCACCGCTTTTTTGTGTCAAATCCATGCCCCTTAGAGCTAACAAAAGGGTTTTGCTATGATCGGGTGTGCCTGGGAATTTATAATTTGTATACATGCAGTAAATGAGTCAACAGTATCCTACCCAAAGCCTATAAAACTCTTCCAAGATAAGTGTAAAAAGCAATCTAATAACATCAATAAAAATATCATTGAGTGACTACTATATACAAATCACTATGCTATTTGAAATAAGGGACAAGCCCAGTATTAGCCCTCGAGCAATAGTTTGGCTGATTTCTACTGATAAAGAGATTTTTAGGACCCTGCCATGAAAGCAAGGACCCTGGGAGAGGCCTCTCACCAGGATGGGGAGGAGGAACTTTGAGGAAGCTGGTGGCATCCCAGAAGATCCTGAGGGCGCCTGAATGAGGAGAACTTTTGTTAGAGAGAGCCAGGGGAGAGTAGACAAAGAAGGGAGCAAAGAGGTTGAGTAAAGAAAAGAGAGAGGGCTTCCCTGGTGGCGCAGTGGTTGAGAATCTGCCTGCCAATGCTAGGGGACACGGGTTCGAGCCCTGGTCTGGGAAGATCCCACATGCCGCGGAGCAACTAAGCCCGTGCACCACAGCTACTGAGCCTGCACGTCCAGAGCCTGTGCTCCGCAATGGGAGAGGCCACAACAGTGAGAGGCCCGCGTACCGCAAAAAAAAAAAAAAAAAAAAAAAATTGGGGGAGTTCCCTGGTGGCCTAGTTGTTAGGATTCCGGGCTTTCACTGCTGGGGCCCGGGTTCAGTCGCTGGTCGGGGAACTGAGATCCTGCAAGCCACACAGTATGGCCAAAAAAAAGAAAGAAAAAGAAAGAAAGAAAGACTTGAACCAGAACCGGCTTTCAGTGTTGTTGCCATAGCTGCTGCTATTTGACTCATGTTCCAGGATTTCCCTGCTGAATCTCACACCGCCCATCCACAACTCAGGGGCCTGGGGAACACCCTGCTCTTGGGAGGTCTTTTCTGGGAACTTGGCATTGGGCTACACCTTCTCTACAAGGTGGCCTGTCCACTGTCAGCCCAGGCTTGCTCAGATTCACGATTATCTGGTCTTCGTCCCCAACAAATACTCACGGCCTCCACCTTGCTGCGTTCTCCAGGACTGTCATTTTTCTCCCCACCTATCCCTCAGCAGATTCTATCCTCTTCTTTACTCCCTCCCCAAATCATACATACACACCCAAATTATGCAACCTCCTCTCCCCGCAGCACAGAATCACATAGGTTTGCTTTACGTGGATTTCCCTCAGCCTTCGGCTAAAAGTGGAACAGTCAATACACTCTCTGTGTGTGTCTTCTCCAACCTGCCAGTCTGTTAGGTTAGGGGAAGCAAAGAGGGGAAGGCCAGCTGGAAAGCACTTCAGCCGCTATAGATGAGCATCTCGTCTGCGGAGCAAAGGGAACTCTGGACATTGCCAGGGCTGTGGCGGGGTGGGGTGGAACAGAGTTGACAGGCTCCTGCCCACAGGTCCTTCCAATCTGCACACTGGCAAGGTGCTGTGCATATTTTCAATGCATCTGCTGGTCAGCAAACAAATATCTCTGTGGAATGAACTGGGAGATCTGGTTTGTGCAGAAAATAAGAGAACATGGAGGAGGATTCCCCCCTCTGCATGTTTGAAGGGCATGCCATGTGCTCTGAACCCACAAGGGCAGAACCAAGGTGGTAAATCTCGAAGAGAAGCTAAGAGGCATATAAGTATGCCTGGCTGTTTACTATAAACTGTGGAAATCTATTGCCTACAAAAGTACATTCTGACGGGAATAAAGACCCAGACCTACTACAGAATGGACTTGAGGACACAGGGAGGGGGAAGGGTAGGCTGGGACAAAGTGAGAGAGTGGCGTGGACATATATACACTACCACATGTAAAATAGATAGCTAGTGGGAAGCAGCTGCATAGCACAGGTAGATCAGCTCGGTGCTTTGTGACTACCTAGAGGGGTGAGATAGGGAGGGTGGGAGGGAGGGAGATGCAAGAGGGAAGAGAGATGAGAACATACGTATATGTATAGCTGATTCACTTTGTTATAAAGCAGAAACTAACACACCATTGTAAAGCAATTATACTCCAATAAAAATGTTAAGAAAAAAAAAAAGTACATTCCGAATCATACCCAGAGTGTTAGGCAGTGATGTGATAAGTACTTTTCAGAAGAGACCTAATTCTTTCTAATCCAAGTGGTAAGTCAAAGCTCTCCAAATCCCTTTTTATCATTAACTGTAGGGTTAGAGCAGGATTGACAGGCTCCTGATAGCCATGATCATGGGATCCTCAAGGGTCTTACAGTCCAATAAGGAGCTTCTGTTTGTGGTAAATGTAGCATAGAATTGGAGGTGACGTTGGAATTGGGCCGTGAAGAATGCAGTTGGTGTTTATAGAGATGAGAATGTGCACTATAACATTTAGGTGAATAAAAGCCCTTTCTGGGGCCAAAGAAAAAGTCAGAACTGGGTAATCGATTCCTGGTGATGCACTGGTGTAAAAGTAAGAACAAATATACCTGCTACTGATACAGGATTCCAATAGACTGACTGTTATTTATTAGCTCCCTTGTAGATAAACCACAGTTTCAGCTATAATCGTTATCACTACCCAGTGCTCATTCTGCCTCTGCCAACTCATTTCTTCCTTCATTCATCATGTCGTCATTCAGACGTAATCATATCTATTTTCCAGACACCATGTTAGAAGTAGAGGACATAGAAGTAAATAAGGCACCCACCCATCCATCTCTAAACTTTCTCTCATGAACCTTCCCTGACCTCAAGGAGCCCCCAACTATTGGGTCAGGCACACACATTAAAAATTAAGTACAGCGGGCTTCCCTGGTGGCGCAATGGTTGAGAGTCCGCCTGCCGATGCAGGGGACACGGGTTCGTGCCCCGGTCCGGGAAGATCCCACATGCCGTGGAGCGGCTGGGCCCGTGAGCCATGGCTGCTGGGCCTGCACGTCCGGAGCCTGTGCTCCGCAACGGGAGAGGCCACAACAGTGAGAGGCCCGTGTACTGCAAAAAAAAAAAAAAAAAAAAAATTAAGTACAGGGACTTCCCTGGCGGTCCAGTTGTTAAGACTCCGCCCTTCCACTGCAGGGGGCACAGGTTCGATCCATGGTTGGGGAGCTAAGATCACATGCTGTGATCGGCCAAAAAACCAAAAAGCACAACTAAGTACAGTACACTGTGATAACTGCTGGGGTTGAGGAGTATGACACATTCTGGGGGAGGACAGAGCAAGGAACATGTATTCTTCCTGGGAGTGGGGGAAGGTGGGGCAGGGTCAGTGGAAACAGCTTGACCAAAGTCACTGGGGTAAGTGTGCCAGGCGTAGTAGCAGTGATAGGAGTCAGTGTTTATATTGGGTTTATCACATGCCAGGAGCTCTTCTAGTGTTTTCTATCCTTTAACTCATTTCATCCCTATGAGCTCGGTAGGATTATTCTCCTCATTTTGCCGAGGAGGACACTGAGGCACAGAGTCAAATAACTCGCTCAGGGTCACACAACCGAAGTGGCAGAGTTGAAGTTTGAAACCGGGCAGGGCAGTCTCAAATCTGTTCCGTGAACCGTGATGCTATACTGCCTGATCTGGGAGGCACAGGGCATATGGCAGTAGGTAGGTGTGCTGTAGTTAGAGTCTAAATGGCCTTTAGTGCTGTATGCTTTATTCTGGTATGAGGGAGCCTTTCTAAACAGGCATGAATAGATAGATCTTTGCTTCGGAGAGCTAAACCAAGGTCTGGATGATTGATGATGTGGAGAAGAGAGAGACTGAAAGGAGGCAACCCCCAGAGACTATTGTAATACATTTTTTTTGTTTTTGCGGTACGCGGGCCTCTCACTGTTGTGGCCTCTCCCGTTGCGGAACACAGGCTCCGGATGCGCAGGCTCAGCGGCCATGGCTCACGGGCCCAGCCGCTCTGCGGCGTGTGGGATCTTCCCAGACCGGGGCACGAACCCGCGTCCCCTGCATCGGCAGGCGGACTCTCAACCACTGCGCCACCAGGGAAGCCCTGTAATACGTTTTAAGAGAGTATCCAGAGCAGGGGTAATGGGAACGGTGAAGGGTGATCTCATTTGTTCACCAGGGAAGGTTTAGAGCTGGATGGCAAATACCTGGCATGTGCACCACCACCCAAAGCAGAACCGACAGCTGATCACGGTGCTTTCTCTTGGTTAGGCCACAAGCTGCCTCAGCATCCTTCCCAACACAGCAGTGCTCCTCCAGGCAGCCACTACTAACTGGTTAGAGTCGGTACATCAGGTGAAACCTACTTGCCATCCCTTGTTGGGATAGACATTCTGGGCGTAGAACTCAATGGCAGATAGAATGCCTGAATGAGGAGGAAAGTGTGATCACAGGTAACTTGGAGGCTTCTGACTTGGGTGCCTGAAGGGAAAATGATATTATTGATTGTGATAGAAATGGAGAAGCAGGGTGGGAGGGAAAACCATGAATTTTGTTTTGCACATCCTTAGATCTGAAGTTCAACAGGGCATCCAAGAGTAAAGGCTGAGATGGAAATATGGATCTGAGCCCAGGAGAGACCCAAACTGGAGCTGTGATTAAAGAGAGTGTCACTGACGCTTGGAAAGTGAATGGCATCTCCCAGATTGGAGAGAAGACAGAGAGGGCTGAGGACAGAACCCTGGGAACACCAGTGGCTTGGCAGTGTAAGGAGAAAGAAGAGAGCACTGTCTGGTAGGGAAGAACGTTCGCAGATGGAGGTAGTTGGGGTGTTAGGTCCTGGGAGAGGACCACGATGCCAGAGCCACGATGAAGCTGCGATGAGGATTTGTAATGGTGGGATCCTTGTTGCCAACCTTGAGAGAGCATTTCAGTAGAGTGGGGTGGACGGAAACCAACTTACGTGGTTTGCTGGCTGAAAAGAAGGTGAGGAATATAAAACTATTCTGTCAAGATGTTTGGAGGCAGGGTAAAAGGGAAGAACCAGAGCACGTTGCTGACAGGGAAGAAGGTGGATGAGATTGATGTTGGAGAGGGGAAGCAGCTGGGATACAAGGAGGCAAAAGGGACAAATTAAGAACAGGGAGAATTTCCTCTTGGAAAGATAAGCACTTATCACAGAGTGTAATTTACATCTATTGGTGTGATTCTGACCACCAGTCCAAGGCTCTGTCTTTTTTCGGTCATTACTTTATCCCCAGTGCCCAGGGAAACATCAGGCACTGGAACTTCCCTGGTGGCGCAGTGGTTAAGAATCCGCCTGCCAATGCAGGGCACATGGGTTCAAGCCCTGGTCCAGGAAGATCCCACATGCTGCGGAGCAACGAAGCCCGTGCGCCACAACTACTGAGCCTGTGCTCAGAGCCTGCAAGCCACAACTACTGAACCCATGCGCCACAACTACTGAAGCCCACGTGCCTAGAGCCCGTGCTTCACAACAAGAGAAGTCACCGCAATGAGAAGCCCCTGCACCGCAACAAAGAGTAGCCCCCGCTTGCTGCAACTAGAGAAAGCCCGTGCACAGCAACGAAGACCCAACGCAGCCAAAAGTAAATAAGATTAATTAAAAAATAAATGAAAATAAAAATGGTCTTAAAAAAAAAAACACCACCAGGCACTGAATGAATACATGTTGAATAAAGTGAATAAATGGTTAAATAGCATCCCCTTTTCTTAGACATGAAGGAAGGAGTCACTAGGACTAATATTCTTGATAGCAAGGGGTGGAGACAATCTTTTTTTTTTGTTTTTTTTTCAGAGAGAGCAGCAACTAGGGTGCATTTATTTCCTCCTGGGCCTGGCAGGCTGGGAGCAGAGTACAGACAAAGGCACTGGGGCATGTGACCTGTTATGGCCTGGAGTTCAGCTGCCTGGGTGGTAACTGGGTGGGTGTGCCAGGGTGTGTAGGGACTGGAGTGATCCTCCCAGAACTGAGAGAAGGGCCCTTGGGGTGTGCAAGCAACACAAATGTTGGCTTGGCACAGATGCAAGAGAGGGGTTATGGAGTAGATGTGAGATGGGTATGCTGGGGCAGGGTGTGTTGAAGCATGTTGGGCCCTGGCTGTTGACTGAGAATCCGGGTGCCAAGGGCTGGGAGAACAGAAAGGCCTGTGGGTCAGCAGGAGCCATGAAGATGTGACTGCAAACAGGATCAGCCCTGGGGGAGACTGAAGAGTCCAAGGTGACTCCTACAGCGAGGCGATGAGGGGGCAGGTCTGTGACTCCCGTTCAGGAATACATGGTCAGCTGCAGCCACTCCTGGGTGTTCACCTGGGTTTGTCCAGTGCCATCTTTGTCAAGAGATTTGAAGGCACGGAACATCGCATCCAGTCTGACCAGGCAGCTGATGAAGTTGTCAAAATCAGTGTTCCCTCCCTCATCTGAGTAGCGTCGGATGATCATGTTGTAGAGATGCTCATTCAGGCGGAATCCTGCTGCCTCAAAGGCCCCTGGGAGGTCACTGCTGCCAATGGTCCCTGAACAGTCAATGTCAAACTGTTTGTATATGGCCTGCCACTTTTTGATGTTGTTCCACAAGTACGTGAATTCCTTGAAGCCCAGCTTGCCGGTCGTGTCACTCCATAACGGCCACCATGCTGCGACATGTGTCAATGCCAAAACCATAAGTCTTCAGATCAGGATGTCGGGTCACGACTTTGTTGAGAATGTTCACGAGTTCTGTGGCACTGACCTCCATGTCCTCTCCAGCCAGCTGGGCAAAGAGCCTCCGGAACTGCCGGGCCTTCTCACTCTCATTGGCCTGGATGTTGGAGTATTGGGTGCAAGGGGGCAGGGGCTCTGGGTTGTACTGCGCAGACACCTCACCCATTCTGTTCTTACCGGACAAGCCTCTTCCTCCAGGCCCCGAGACAATCTTTTTTAACTGGTGATAAAGAAGGTGATGAAGAGTGCAGGTGTGGGCAGAGAAACTGGTGGTCCAGTTATGATCAAATCCACCAGAATTCATATAAAAGCTATACCAGAATTTTCACTCTTAAAGACAAAGAAAGAAAGGCAACAGTCAATATTTCCTTTAGAAATACACACTAAAAGTGATGTGACTGAGTATTTCTAAAGCTCAGTGACTAATGATGGATATGGTACTTCCTTTATACTTTTCTTTCAAGAGATAACACCCAGACAAACATAGAATAACCAGCTTTGTCTTCTAGCATTTGTCTGATAGGTGGAAACTTTCTAAAATAAATACAGGTGCACTATTTTTTCAAATGTAAGTGCTATCAGGTCTGGGAAAAAAATGTTTCTTCCACTTGTGTCTTTTTTTCCCTTTGGGATTAAAAAATTTTTTTTCAGTGTTTTCCCTTTGACATAGCCTGTGAGGAAACAAAATTGCATAGCTTTTTTTAAAAAATAAATTTATTTATTTAATTTATTTATTTTCGGCTGTGTTGGATCTTCGTTGCTGCGCACGGGCTTTCTCTAGTTGTGGCGAGCGGGAGCTACTCTTTGTTGCGGTGTGCGGGCTTCTCATTGCGGTGGCTTCTCTAGTTGTGGAGCATGGGCTCTAGGCACACAGGCTTCAGTAGTTGTGGCACGCGGGCTCATTAGTTGTGGCTCACGGGCTCTAGAGCACAGGCTCAGTAGTTGTGGCGCACGGGCTTCGTTGCTCCGCGGCATGTGGGATCTTCCTAGACCAGGGATCGAACCTGTGTCCCCTGCATTGGCAGGTGGATTCTTAACCACTGCGCCACCAGGGAAGCCCCAAAATTGCATAGCTTTTTGCCAAAAAAAATCATAATTCTTGCAGCTTCGTCATTATATTTGTACCTCCTTATAATTAAGATGAGGTTTGTAAAAAACATTTTTATTCCTTTAATGATACTATAGAGTCTATGTTATTCCTTCTGCTCTTTCTCATCTGCTTATCTGCTTTTTCGGAACAGTAGGCACTTTTACACGTCAGTAGTTTCCAGGTTACTGAGATCTTTAGACAGCTCTCTCTAACTGCGTCACTCCCCGTTCCTCACCACCTCATTATATTTTCAACTGTCAGTGGACTCTGGGGCAGGAATCAGGTCTGCCACCCCAGGACACAGAACAGGCCCTAGGGCCTCAGATTTCCCACTTCTTGAAGAGACAGAACCCCTGTTTTTTTTATGGGGACTGTACAGGTTGGTTGCTAACTCCTTCATTCTCTCGAAACAGATTTGAGATTCTTAGAGGAAAGGTCTGAGTGAGGAAAATCCAACGTGGTTTTGAGTCGGAGGTCAGTTGGCCTTGTAGGAGCCCCCAGGGTGGGTCCTCGCAAAGCTGGATAAGAGGCAGATTCAGCCATCCCAAAGAAATGGGTCCCTCTGACCATCGTTCCCTAAAGCCAAAATCTTACGGAGTAGATGTGTTAATGTTTTGGGTTAGGTCCCTTTGGCTGTGTTTTAAAAGAGGATGCTTGGTGGTTCCTCATATTATCACAATGACATCAAATCATGTGTTTCTGTGTTTGGACATGAGGGTACCTCCTATTCCTGGCTCAGTGGGTTTAGAGGTATGTGTCATGTGCCTAAGCATAAGAGCCTCTCTGGGGAATCCCTTCGTCTCCTGTTGCTACAGGTGAGTGTGTCCAAGCATTTAGAAATAGGGCGTCCTCACAGCTTAAGTGCATGTGAGGAAAACATAGATAGAACTCAAGCCAAGTAGCATGGCTTACTGGCTTGCATTGAGTTGGCAGTAGAGACTCTCATGACCCAGGAGACATGCTTCAGACAAGGACAGAGTCTTGCATCTGGGTGTAGCCCCTCAGGGCAGTTCAGAGCTCCAGACTTGAAGTCAAAGGGAGCCTCTGTGGTTGAATGGAAGCAGTGGACGGTCTGATGTTAGTCAAAGCCATATGAACTGTGGTTGAGTCCTCCGTGCACCTGGGCCTGGTAGGCAACAAGGCAGGAGGCCTGGGGGTTTAGGGGCAAGAGATCCAGTTCCCATATTCATAAGAGCCTCAAATTTGGACTTCTGCACTACCTGCAAATGAGGTTATGAATTCAGACACAAAGCTGTAGTTAGAGGAGGGAAAGAAGACAGTATTCATCATATAATTTTAATTTTAAATACACAAACCTTAAAACTTACTATGACTTAAAATCTTATTTAGCCATTGTTCATTTTTTAAATATACTAGGAGCCTCAAAGATGGAATTGACCTGCCTTCACTCTGCTTTCTTGCTCTTACTAACAGGGGCTGTTAGTAAGTAAGTGTTGACTGAATAACTAGGAGGCAGGGAGTCTGAATAATACACGATTATGGACAGTTTACCAAGAGAAACAGTTCTACACCCTTTTCCTGGCAGTCATATATCTCCTGTTCGCCCCCCGAGAATGTACTGCTCCCAAGGGAACACAGGCAGCTGCTACCACCCCTGCCAGGGCTGCCAGAGCTGCAGTGAGCTCCACACAGAGCCCAACAGCTGTAGCACAAGACTCAGCTTCCTCCCAACCCCGGTTGCTCCTCGAATGGCTCCACCCATCTACTGAGCACCTTGGGTGGTGGAGAGACCAAGATATATCTGGAAGAGGGCACGTGAAAAGAGACATAATAATAGTGCAGGTTTCTCCCACTGCACGAGGGGAGGCAAATCTCATGATGATTTATAGTTCATGTTTTGCTGCAGAGCTGAGCTCTCGCTGCCCCGCAAAGCCTTTGGGATGAAAGACGACACTAACGCTCATTTCTCCCTTGGCTGTTCACACATAGTCAGTCGTTAAAGGCACACCTGAAGCCTTTCATCCAGAAATACATTTAGGTTAATGAATTCAGAGTATCAGTATAATCCTCCACAGAGCTTTGGTATTCAGGCTCTTTCAGTTAAACAGCGTAAGGCCCAGGACATCAAGAATCACGAATCAAGATAGACGAACCAGCAGCAATATCCATGGGGTGATAGGAATGATCATCTCTTTTCAGTTCGATCCAACAAATATTTATCTAGGCTTACTCTGTACAAGCACTGCCAGGTCACAGGAGGAGAGAGAATTCGCTTCTTGTCCTCAGAGACTTTGGGAGCAGTTTGGTGTCATTCACACTTCAGGCTTTGGAGTCCGATAGGCCAGTGTGCAAAAGTGCTTGGCAGAGAAACTGTCACATACAGGATCTGAGGGAAGGGTGTGGTTCCTTTTCTTTTTTTGCCAGAAGCTTTGCTCTCACCAGCCCTGTCAAGGACTGGCCTCCTGCCCCTGAGTCCCAATTCTTGGCTGGGCCCCTGCACTGTGTTGCCAGAGCTGGTGGAAGCCAGGCACCTTGTTGGCCCTCTGCTCAAGTCTGCTCCTTATAACTAGACACCA